CCCACCCAATGTGACAGTAGACATTGGAGTTGGATGGCCATAGGAATGAATAATAAATGTGTCAGAGACAAGTGGGATGTCACAGAAGTCTGCCCTTCACCCATCAGGAGGCTGGAGGTCAGAGGTCACAGCCCCAGGGATTGAGAGCAATTTCCCAACATTGAGAAATCCATTTTTTCCCCCCATTGGAGGAAAATCACTCTGGCAAGCGCTCTAAATAAAGGATTTTAGCTTCTGATTGGAATGGGAGTGATGAGAATAAACTGAGCTGTAGAAAATGAAAGGAACTATTTTCAAATACAGGCCAGTGTCGTGGTATCTCAGCATGCACTTTAAATGCTTGGCTCCAGCACAGCATTGTCACAGTGACAGAGAAAACAGCCCCGAAGCTGCACTAGGCCAGCAGATTTATTGCTAAGGTAGGAAAGAGTTTTAGCCAATGCTCATGCAATGTCCCTTAAATTTCAACCTAACCAAGGTGGTCATCTTTGCATGAATATTTGAGGCAAAAGGTACACATTTCAGAATAATGCTGCACAGATGCTTTGTTTTTCCTCTCTCTTGAGCAGTGTTCTTTGCCTGGGATTTTCAGAATTGTTTTGGGATAGCTCTTACATTAGATTTCAGTCATCTGGTAAATTCTCTAGGGTTTAAATTAAATTAAATTGGGTTTACAAGACCTCAAAAATTTTGTAGAGCTCCCTTTCCTCAACATGAGGCCAGTTATAAAATCCAATGAAGTGGACATGTGGCAGTTTTCAGCAACATCATGAAGTGTGTGATTTAGGACATTGTCTATTAATTTTCTATTCTTAGTCCATTGCCATGCTAGTCATAGCAGAACATGCACATGACATTTCTTCTTTGAGGGAGTGACTTCTTTATTATTCATTTGTTTAATCATCAGATTTTTCTGAGTACCAGTTATGTGTCAAGCACCTTAACTCATGCTAGAGGTGTTGCACAAAATAACACAGATATGACTTGTGCCTCCCAGAAGCTTATATTCTAGTGAAGGTGACAGAAGAGTAAACAATTGAAATAGAGCTTACCTCTAGTAGAGAGAGCACAGTTTCATTATGTAATTAGCTTTGCCCAGTGTCTGGGAGCATATAGGAACTTCATCCTGGAAGGACGGAAAAGCATTCTTACAGTTGGTCAGCAGATGTTTATGGGGGTTTTTTTTGTTTATTTTGTTTATTTTTTGTTTTGTTTTTGTTTTTGCTTTTTTGCAGACCTGGGGGTTTGAACCCAGGGCATCTGTATGCTAAGAAAATTCTGCTCTGTCACTGAGCTACTCCCTCAATCTAGATTTTTTTTCAGATATCAACTAGGACCCAGGCACTGAGGTATCCAAGACACATCAAAAGGAAAGAGTTATCCAAATAAAAGAGGCAGGGGTAGGAGAGTGGAAGTTGTAGGCAGAAGAAATAGTTTATATGATTACCTGAAAGCAAACATTGAAGGACTAAGTGTAGAGCTAGGAGGTGGAGAAAATACAAGAGGAAAAAGACAAAGGGACCTGCAATCCATGCCACAAAGGACTCTGTGAGGATAGTAGGAAATCTTACACTAGTGGTAAGGCAGAAATGACACAGATATATTTGTAAAAAAAACTGTTTTGACTATTATGTTAAGATTAGGTAAAGAGTATGACTGGACCACTAACTTCTGCTTAGAGGCTGTTGTGATAGGTCAGATTAAAGTGATGATGATCACAGCTGAAGAAGTGGTCTTCACTGGACCGTACATACTTGTGAGATAAGCAAGAGCTAGAAATCTCAGGACTTTGTCACAGCCTGAGTAATGACAGGTTAGATGTGGTAGGAAAGGGAAATGAAGGAGCCATTCTTGCCAAACTAGGCAGAAGGTGGTACAATTTACAAGCCTGAATTTCCTGAGGCAGAAAACACAGAAGAAGGAGTAGGTAGGGGAGGAAAGCCAGTTTAGTTTTGGACATGTTGAGCATGATGTTCCCAGGAGGCATTTTGATGAGTAAATGTGAAGCCCAAGAGAGATATATATGATGGAGATTCAGAAATAGGACTTGTTAACATATTGATCATGCATTCTGCACTTGGTGATAGCGGAAGGAGGGTGTTCTATGGATAGCTGTAAGTAAAAAGAATTGCTGAATCTCCTAGCATGGCGTCAAATATTTGAACTTATTTTACATATATTTATTTAGGGATTGAAGAAGAAGATAATGAAAATTTGCTTTAAAAGGTCTAGAACTCCAAGAATGTTAAAGACCACAGGAAGAAAATGAAGGGATGACCTAGATAAGAATTCCCAGGGAGAGTGTGCTGACAGTCCTGGGCCAGAACCCAAGAACTACACCTGTAGAGAAAAGGAAAAAGAGGGTCCTGAAAATGACCTTGAGTGTCCACTGGGGAAAGCATGAAAAGAAATAGAGTGGTCCACAGAGTTAATCCCACTGAAGGTCAAATAATGCAAGGAAAAGTGTTCATTGGATGTTCTACACGAGGACATGGGTGATCTTGACAAAAGAGGCCATCTTTAGTTGGGAAGAGTAAAAGATAAGTAAATGGAGATGGAAGTTTTAGGAAACTCAAGAAGAAAGAAAGGGGAGTGTTGAGGAAGCTAGAGAAGACCTGGTATACGGTGAATATTGATCCTACCCCAAAAGATGAGAGAGAATTGTCCAATGAGTAAAACAATTTAAAAGCACAAAGAGCCTTCAGTAGCAATTAACCAACCAAAAACACAGACGCAATTAAGAAATAAGAAAACTTAATCTCAAGGTGTATATGGTGATCAGGACGGATCTTAGGGAAAGGTCATGAATTGACTTGAGCTTCAAATGAAGTAGGTGAGAATGAGCCAGTCACTGAAAGAAATCTGAACAAAATAATACCAAACAATTCAGTATTCCCCTTTCACTTCCCTTTGTTATTCAAAGAATATTTTCTTAGCTAATATAATATCTTTAGAATGGAAAATGCCTATAACTCAGAGTGGCTACTAGTATGAATATATTAACAGTTACAAGATATATAATCCAATTTTACAATTACTACTTACATTTTTGATCTTCACACATGAAACCAGCATATTGTTTGGGGTCACATTGTTCATTTCCTCGCTTGGAATTTTTAACACCACATAGAGTGCTAAATCTGTGTAAGCTGGTGCTTCTATCACTTAGGTTTCAAACATCTTCCACATATAGAAAAACACCCATAAATAAAAGTGCTAATGTCAAGAAGGAGAAAGATCCTTTAATAAGCAGCACAAGTAACTGCCTACATAAGAGATCATTACAGGACCTATTGCATATTAAACACTGTCTATTGAACTGAATTATATTTTCTCCTGTCATTTTAAAATATTGTGTGAAAGTGTTAATTTTCAATGGTGCTATTTATATGTGTAAGTTAAATAGTATTGCTTTAATGGTAGTCTTCCTACAGTTCATAAGGACACAGAGAGCAGAGTGTAACCAGTACTGTTACAAACTGTAGTAAAATCCTAAGGATGCCAAGGCTTAGTCTTCCCAGAGAGACTTGGGTGGATGACCATTGCTTCTGCACCGCCACCCTCTGGGAGTAGACCAGCAGCTCTCTATCATAGACTTGGTCATTCTTTTCCTCCTTGTCATAAATGTGGGCCAGGGTTCCAAACAGTTCATTGGAAGAGAAACTTGCCATTGCTATGTTGACATTCTAGAAACCAACTGCAATTGTTAAAGAATTTCATTTCACTACCTTAGAATAAATATTCTTTTATTTTTCCCAACGCATGCCATCTGCCCCAAAGAAAATAAACATCTACCACCACAATGTTTCTTGGTCTTTATGAAACTTGAGTTTCTATACTTTTGTCCTAGTTTCTGAAGGAGGCTAGGCTCATTTTAACACACACACACACACACACACACACACACACACACACGCAGTCAGGTTATGACTCTGGCATATCCTGGTATTTTCCCCCCGTGCCAGAGCCTAGGTGCTCTGTATGGACACATTTCTTCCCAAATATATTATCGTGATCTCTGGTCATGGTCACTGTGTCAACTTACGTTTTACTTTTCCAGAGGATGTAGCCTACACTTGTTGTGATACAATTTATAACCTGCTGCCTCAACAAATATCAAGTTGGCCTTTGCAGTTTTATAGTCAAAGATTTCGAATATGGGGATGCATTTTTGTGGAAATTGCATATTCCATTGTTGCCGCTCATATATCACAGCTTTATTTGCAGACAGCAAAGGCAAAGCCTCTGCTAATGACTTCAAACCTCTGCCACACACAGAGCTTTTATTTTCTAGGATTCTAAGCATCTTTTATTAGAATCACTTGGCCCGCTACTGAGGGACTTTTGTGATGACCTTATGTGGAGTGAGTGAGAAATCTGAGGATTACTGTTGAACTTCCCCTCAGGTCAGCTAGAGGCCTTGGTGAAAAGCCCTTCTGATCTGAGGAAATTCCATTTTTAGCTTCCTAAATGAGAACACCTGATTACAACCTGTCACATCTGTAGAATAAGACCAGCAAATTGTTTTAATGGTCATCTCTCTTTTTGAAACAAATAATAATTCTCCTGATGGTTTGAAGGAAAGAAGATAAAACTGTCCTTTAAGATCTCTGATGAACTCAGGGGCAATTGTCATAGATTTGGTAATATCACCAAATCTCACCAGTGGCAATATTTTGGATAGCTGTTGGCGATCTCTTGAATTAGAAGCGTAATTGTCTGATGAGAGCCTCAGGCCCCACTGAACTGACTGCTATGAGGCTTCCTGGAAGTGTAGTGTGAAGATAGACTGTATCATTATAGCCACCTCCCTGTGCCCCTCTCCATCACAAAAGGCCCTTGTTGAGAAGCCTCTGGGGGCTGGGTCTACAGATCTACATTTTTTCCCAAATGTCTCTGTTTGCACCAAAGCACTGCAAGATTTGAGAACCACAACTCTAGCAGCTAGACCACTGAGACTGACTTGAGTGACAGTGAATCTTTGTCTCTCCTCTGCCTAGGTGCAAGTGTAATCTCCACGCCACTATGTGTGTATATGACAACAGCAAACTGACATGTGAATGTGAGCACAACACTACAGGTCCAGACTGTGGGAAATGCAAGAAGAACTATCAGGGCCGGCCTTGGAGTCCAGGCTCATATCTTCCCATCCCCAAAGGCACTGCAAATACCTGTAAGTAACTCTGCTCAATAACACCATGTTCTGTGCATGATGAGCTGCTAGTTCCTCTCAATTTCCTATGCATTTGTGATTTTACTTCTCTTACCAGTTGTCCCACTACTCTTCAAAATGCAGCTACTGTTGTCATCCCAATTTTATCACTTTTAATCATGTATTAGCACTCTGATCAACTGTTAAATTTGGTCTTCTAGTATTCATATTAACTATGTTGGAAAATGATTCCTAAAGTCAGGGAAGCAATTTTTTTCTATGTGGATCAAACAGGAGGTAATTTTTCCCTCCTATTGAATTCATTTCCTATTAAAACAACAGAGATTAAAACTTCTCAATCCTAACTAAGCATAAACAACTTTCAGAAATGTTTCAAATGTTTATAACCCCATTTCTCATAATGGGTAACCTGAGAGATGCTTTGTCCAGAAGAGGTTTACCTCTCCAAATGAAGCTAAGATCTAACATTGACCAGGGAAATTGGCTTTTTCCAAACTCTAGTAGTTGACCCAAGCTTGCAATGGACACTGGGAGTAGAGGCTCTCTTTAGGTAAAGAGCATGACAGCAGGCCTCTGGGGTATCTCATTTAAAAAGAAGTTTTTGTGTAAACATGAAAGAGAACAGGGTTATATGTATTCACAGGAGTCACTCGAGATGCCACATTATTATGTGTGTGCCCTGCTGAAATTCATGAATGTCCAAAGGAGATCAGACTCAGACATGCCCAAGGAGAAAAGTGATTATTTCCCAAGTAATTTGCCCCAATTCTGTGGATAAAATGATGAGCCACCTGCAAAAGCCTAAGGTTACCCCTCTTTCAAAACAGGGAAAGGGCAAGGTTAGCATATATCCACACAGGGAGAAGTAATAAGAATAGCAGTACAGAGAACAATGAGAATTTGAAAAGCCACTGGCTCTGTGCAAGGCTAAGAATGTTATCAGGCACTTCAAAGCAGCAGCTGTGAGAAGCCAAACCTAAAAACTAATATCACAGGAACCAGGACCTTATCAAGTTAAGTGTAAGAGTAATGGAACAAATAACAAGCCGTAAAGTGTGGGGTCATGAAATTATGATAAAATTTCTGTGAAGCAGAGAAAAAAATCCTTCAAAAGATTTTTAAAAATCTCTTTATAAAGGTGTCCAGTTTCTTTCTGTGTTGAAGAAAAAACTGACTTCTTGCTCTTGAAATTAATACATTAAAGCTCTGCTGAGCAAGAATGTTGATTTTTCAAGATGATTTTATTAATGGAGACTCTGTGGGATTTCCTCAATTGTTGAGAGCCACAGGTTCATGAATTGGGAAGGGATCTCATAAGGTTTTTTGTTGCAATCGCCTGTGGCTGGCTACCTGAGAATCCCTATCACTGCAGTTATCACATTTAAAGCCTTCCCAAAATGAAAGTGGCTCAGATTTCATTTTCACATTCTACTGCATTCTTTAGTGGGACAGGATGTAAGAGAGTGTAGTTACAAACACATTCATTCTGGCACCTCCTCAGGGCAGGCTAATGTGCCAAGGCCACTGGAGACACAGCTAGGGTAGGTTGCTGATGAAGGCATTGGCTTCTATCCTAACATGACCGTGTTCCTCCACCGATACCTGTCTTTCAAAGACTGCTTATTTCAAAACATTTTCACTGGGAACACATTCTTGTGTCAGTCAAAGCTTTCTCAAAGAAATGAATTTCTTGCTATATTCCCATAGAAATTTACACACCACTAACCTTTTGTGTACTGAAGATAAGCAAGTCAGCCCCTGGCTAAAAGAATGCATCTTCCTTTGGTTTCCATTATAGGTCCAGCTGTTCATCCAACCCCTAGTTTTTATTGACCTCTGGATTTCTTGACTTTTCAACATCTAAAATAGGAGAAAACATATGTATATTTTTCTTAACACAGACATACATGTCCAGACACTCACATATACATATATCTTCACAGAGACATAGGATATGTCATATCCTAATATGAAGTGTCAAGCTGAAGAAGTGAAAAAGGAGAGACCATGGTTCTTGGTTTTTTAACATCCACCCTCAATGTCCTAGAAATGCCATTCATTACTAAATGACCTTTAGATTTAGCAGAATCTCAAGAAGCCAGGAAAACTCTTGGGTAGGAAGTCAGTTTCTGTCCAACACCACAAATGTAGAAAAGAAAAGAAGAGGGTTTCATTAAATCAGGCAGTTACAAGATTTTCCTCCAAAGATACTCATCCTACTGCTCCAGGATATCCCAGATTGGCCCCTTACTGAGAGTCACTGGGCTTTGGAGGTCCAGCATTCCAGAAGAACTCAAGGCCTCTTTTTTATGGAGCATGTAGTGCAGAGGAAGAAAAGTGTGGAACATCAACATTCTAAAATAGAGCCATCCCAGTCTGCAAGATATACCATGTTTCCCTGTGTTTTTGCTACAGTAAACTTAACCAAACCAGAGTATTACAAGACCCGGTATGTTTTCCTGGTCTTTAAAACATATACATATATGCAAAAAAAAAATCTTTAAAAAAATTCTTTTCTATACAGCCTATTTTGTAGAAAAGACATCTTTCTTTTTCCTCATTGATTTTCATTATGTTCTCAATATAGTTTTATTTTGAATGTCATTTGAACTTTGTTTTTGTCTTTCAAGTAGATAGCAACTCTGTCCAACTTAATGTCTAATCATGATTGTCTTGATTCCCATCATCCAGCTAATGAATAAAAATGTTAATTAATGATCTTTAAACTATTATCCCTGTGGAATAAAACATAATACTTGGTTAGATATAGATGTTAAAACTGAATAATCACCCTGTAGATAGCATAACTTCAGCAAAGATAACATAATATGTATACCTCTGCTTCTCTGTATTTTATAACCCTTAAAAGAATTCTGTGGTCAAATAAAGTTTACAAAATGCTGTGCACTGTACTCACTCTTACATAGTCACATTACCTTATTAAAAACATCTAAGAAGTCCTACAGTAAAGTAACCTATTTTACCCTTCATTCTCCAAACTTCCTTGTTTCATGGAACCCTTAATAAATTTCTATGAACTACTGTTTTGAGGCCATGATGGTGGTCTAAACAATTTCTTGCAGCCTAGACATGAAGACACAAAAAGCCCAGCTACTTCAGCTGTATTCAATTTTTTATTTTTCTCTTACCTAGACAGTCTAATATTCTTCAGAGAAAGAAAATTAAATTGGCCTGACATTGACATTATTTGTTTGTTCATAAATCCAACTTGAATTGTTACACAGTATCTAGGGCTCCTCTGAGTGATGGAAAGTAATTTGATGATTGTTCTATTATTTTCTCTGATATTAAATTTGCATTGACTGATTTCTATTTTCCTGGTGTACACATGGGTGTATCATTATCCAGACAATTTCCTAAGTGTTTTACATGCATTAGTCCATTTCAAACTCACACAGTCTTATAAGGTAGACATTACAATTTTTATTTTGCAGCCATGGAATCTTATGATCACAGGGGGAAGGTGTCTTATTAAAGGTTTATACAGCCGGTAAGGGTTAGAAGTGAGATTTGAACCCAGGAGATTTGAATGAAGACACCTAAGACTTCGCATTACACTGTGTTGTTTCTCAGGTTCAATTTGAGTGGCTTTCTTTGTCCTCCAGGTTTTGTTTTGACATCCATTTGAACAAGTCAGTCTTTCCTAATCCTACTCATTTCCTAGATCTCTACTTGTTATTTTTCTATCTTTGAAAATCATCCCTTTATGTTCTTTCTTTCAATCTTCTTGTTTCCCACTCCTTCCTATTATCAATCTACATTTTTTTCCCTTGGCCTACCAATCTATCCCTGTTATTCCTGAGATTTTTAGTTTTTAGTATTGGTTAATTAGTAATCAACCTATTCTGGATTCAGTCTTTCTGGACTGACTAATTGTGCCAGCTATCTATAAAGATCTCAAAGTCGACATGCTAGATAATAAATTCATTCCTTTCCCCCAAAGCACCTTTCTCTTCACTCTTTCTTGAAATTCTGCTCATTTTCCAAGACTACTGTCAATGCCAACACCTCAATGAAGCCTATCTAAACTCTCTTGTGCAAAATTAGTCACTCTTATCTCTAGTTTTTTGATATTGTGTGTAAATTTACAAAACTTGTTGACTATCTCTAACAAAATTATGATAATATTGATAGCTACTATTTATTAAGCTTATATTATGAGCTTTTGTACTTCTTAAAGTGTTTTATTCCTTAAATCCTCACAAAATCTGCAGCTGTCATGTATTGTTATTATCCCAATTCTAAAAATAAAGAAACACAGGCACAAAAAGGTTAAGTAAGTTGTCCTAAAGTCCCACAGCTAATGCACAACAGAGCAAGATTTAAACTCGGGTGTGTCTGACTATAGGAGCCAGAACATTAGCAATTTAAGAGTAGAACCATATATCACCCTTCCTTTTTATAAATGTTTGTGGAAAAGTTATTTTGGTGAATGAATAAGTAATCCTAATAACTGTAAGTGCACATGCATATATTGGCCTCCTGTCAGTGTTCTTGTGTCTACTAGACTTTGTGAGCCTCACAGCTCAGCAGTTCTAGCACAGTAACCTTCAGATTCTCACTGGGAGAAAGTATCTGAGATCTTGGAGGAAATCTGATAGGATCAGGACTCTGGCCATCTCTAGACACACTGCCCATTCGGACTCCTTGTGTAGCTTTTACTGCCTGGGTGATCCGACCACTGCCAAGCTCTGACCACCAGCCTTTCAGGCTCAAAACTCTAATTCAGTCAGGACAGAAAGGAAAGTTCTTTCTCACAGTGCCTCGTGGACGTGAACCAATTTTGTAAGCCCTGATATAAAACCAGAACATCAAGTTACTCAGTCATGACCCCTATTCTAGTCTCTTATCTGAAGCCCATGGGACCAGATATTTGGAATGCAATATTTTTAGCATTTTTAAATGATAATACAATGCATATGCATGTACATTATATTACAATAATACCCACAGTAGACTATCAGGCAGCCCCAGTTAAT